TTGAAATTTACTACCCGACAGAGATACCTTACAGAGACAAGTGTTTTTATTCTGAAATTGTGAGCACAATTATTGAGAACAGAGACCATTTGACTAATTGTGTGTAGCTCATTAAGGTAATTTTGGGGACCTATTAATTTAGGTTTACTACTGCAGTAACTACTGCAATCTTTAAAGTAACAATGCAAGAACTGCAAAGGTCAGAAAACTTTTGCAAGACACTGTAGTTAATTGATGAGATTTATTTAAAACAAGGCCATTTTAAAATAAAGATCTCATTTGAAAAAGTTCTATGTACTTTATATGAAAAAAATGAAAATAAGATCTTAAAACACCACACACAAATTGGCCTTGTAATTGTAATTACAAAATTGTAAAATTGTAATTTTCACTGTAAACTTCTTCTGACATACTAAGCAATATAAAAACAGGAATTTTCTTGAGGCTTGTATACCTTTATTTGTTAATTTCCATAACTCCAATATCATATTAAATAGATCATTTGGTAATAGTTAACTGGAATTGCACAATTCCCCTCATTGTTCATCTTATGTCAAACCACTGAATGTGTTGTAGCATGCTTAGCTTTAATAGCGCAGAACTTCAAATACAAACTTAGGTTCTAGTAGTTTTATTTTTTTTAAAAGCCTACTTGTTCCCTCTTGTCCTCCTTCTCTGTCAGGTTCAGAAATACAGTGATATATAAGGATGGTCAAGGTGAACACTGCCAGTAAATACCATAGTATTTACTATCTATTTAGTATTAGTATTTACAGTATTTTTATTATTTATTAGTACTTATTAGTATTTAGTATTTACATACCATAGTAAAATACCAGCAGAGATAATGTACTCTATAGCAGGCTATCCAACATCAGACATAATGAATAATTTGGGATGCTCTTTATAGTGGGTTTATGTAGAACACATCTCAGCTCGCTGATGGTCAAAGGTTTCAGCCTCTACAGTTTTAGGAAGCTAATGAGTTCTGCGTTTGAAGTAGAATGGCCCCAGCAAAGTTTCAGAGAGCTGTGTGAATCTGTAGTCTACTGTTAAAGCTTAAGTTTTCTGTGGTCAGGTGACTATTAAGCCTTGGAAGCACTGCCAGTCACAAAAGTCACTTGCATACTGTACCACCCAGTAATATTCCGTCTCCCATTTGTTAATGTGGATTTGTATTCCCTATAGTACCAACCTCCTTGCCTTTTAAACACTTCAAGAAGTATTTTATTTTAAAGATGTCATATGAAATCTGTAGACAGTTGAGTGCCACCTGCAATGCATGGGATGTATACAGGTAGGCTTTAATTTCCACAGTAGATAAGTTTTTGATTAGATTTCAATGTAAACAGAAGGCACAGACAAAAACAAAGACATTTTCTAGATGTGTCAAGCATGAGATGGGACTATTAGAATAGAATGACTATTCATCCCAGCACTGGGTATATGCAGCATATATGGACTCAGACTCTCTGTTATGTTATGTGTTCCTGGCCATACCTACGTCCATTTGAGGGAGAGCTAATGCTGCCTAAAGTAGCAAGTGGCAAATTCTTGAGGTGCATTAAATCAGCTTTGAAGGTAAACTGATGCCATCTCTTGTCCTTTCCCCCATGTTGTTAGAATCTTGTATAGATATTTTCTTTGACAACAAGATTAAATAGAGAGCAGCTGACTCTGACATTGCACTGCTGATTGAGTCAATCAATGGGGACTGAGACATCAGTAGCTTACCTAATGTATGTATAAAACAACTCAAATGTCAGCTTATGTAAAGATAGCACTATCAACTATAACATTAGTTTATTTTGTTGCTCCTTATAAACTGTATACAGCACATTCTGTTTAAAAGTAACTTCAGTCTTGTCTGTATTTGCAGCAAATAAGTTTTTTTTAATCTACTGTCTTTATCTGAAATCCCACCTTGAAAAGGCTTATTTAAATTTTCAAATGTGGATTTGACGCATCTTAAAAAGGGGTATTAACTTAAATTAAATTCAAAATAAAAAAAATTTAAATTCAGTACAGAAACAGTGAAAGCAGCCTTCTGAAATTAAACGGAATACGATGATGCCATTTTAGCTGACACAGCAGAAACCCCACACATGGATCCTGATTTTTAACATTTTATTCTTATTTTGATTGTGAATGATCAAGTATGTACTATTTTAAAGAGATTTGTTTTTAGATGAATTCTGACAAAGATATTGATTTTTTGGAATTCTTTGTATTTTTAATCAGATTCGTTCATTATTCTTGGGTTATGACTAAAGGTACATATTCTGAAAGTCATTTAATTAGTTCATTGACAGATGAAGAGAAGGGCGTAGTTCCTACTTAAATACTTAAACACACAGTCCAGCAAATGGCTCAGCCATAGGAGTCACAAATGTACAGAGAACCAAGCATCCATCATACAACACTACTGAATCCCATCCTGGCAGTGTTCACTGATGCCAGTGGTGACTTCCTGCCAGTATGTAGGAGGAACAGCTTAGTCATGACATGATGACCTTTCTATTGTTCTGCTAATCCCTTGCTTGGATGAAGTCTTTTGCTCTTTGGATATAAGCTTTTACTGGGTTCTTTTCAGCTACTCCCCCCCAAAAAAAATAAAATATGTCTGCTATTCAATACTGAGTTGCAACTTAAAATTGGAATAGGAAACCATTTTAAACCCAGGTTCCTTCATGAGCATCTCAATACACAGCTACACGAATGAGAGCCTGGGCTGTTTAAAGATAGGGTCAGCTGATGGCAGCACAAGTCAGATCAAGGGGGCCTTTAAATTGTTAATGAGGATTGATATCTTTGAGGTTGGACTTTGGTATTGAATTTCTGCATGGCCCAATGCCTATTGATCTCACTGTTCTAATGTTCCTGCCAGACAAGCAATGCGCCTAACACTCAGCCTGCTCATTAGTTTCAATTGTAAGATTTATAAATGCAAACATCCGCTAGACTTGGGAAAAGTATGCTTTTTAAAGGAGAAGCTGAATCCCACTTTAATTCAATGGAAAATTGAGGGGATCAGGAGCACAAGTGAAATAGAATGCCACAAAGAGAATGCAGCTGCAGAGCTTGTGAGTGAGTGAGTGTCGTCAACATTTAATTCTAACTCCTCTCATCCCTGCTGCATAATTAAAAGGCTGTGACTTCATACAAGGTCTGTGTAAGTGAATCAAATCAAATGCATTTTATATATAGATGGAGAAACGACAAAGAACCTTTTTTCAATGAAGGGATCAGACTATTTTATGTTAATTGAATCATATGTTTATAGATATGCATGACACATGTATAGATCTTAGACCAAAGGTGAATTATAGAAACGGGCATTTTCTGTAAAAATACTTATAGTAAGATTATACACCTAACACCTTGGAAATTGGTTCTATTTTTGTTGCAGTTGAAATTGTTACTAGTGCGATCATAATTATTTTAGAGGAATTTGTCATAATTATTATTGGGGAAAAACACTTTTAGGGCAGTATCAAATGACTGTTCTGTGCAATGAGCTGCAGCAACATTTTTGTATATTGTATTTGTATAGAAAGACCCTAATAGCTTCGAATTTTAAGTGGCAACAAATTCAATCAATGTGGAAATGACGGAGAGGGGATTTCTCTAACTCACAGATGTCTTTAATTGATACTGATGTGAATTCATCTTTTATGATTGAGAGCCTCATATTCTTTATCAAAGCCGGAAAAATACCCCTTAAAATACTAAGTCTATGGTCTTTGAAGATTTTAATATTCTGACATCAAATGTAAAACAAAAAAAATGAGAGATGATTTCAGAGAACTGTCTATTTATGTTCAAATTTTGCCTGTTCCAACATTATAATTTCCCAGTGCTCTCTGTAATTGAGCCTGAAAAGAGTTGTGGTAGGTAATTACACAGCAGTGCAGTGAGAGTTGTGCTGTCTCTGCCACACCCTCTGGCTGTATCGTTTGCTGTGTAGGCTATAGGACATTTTCTGTGCTGTTGAAAATGCCTAGGACGTGACTCCAAAAATAAAAGATCACACCAGCTGTATTTGAAGACTTGAATAGGCAGTAGTGGGATATCAACAGGATGAGGTTCAAAGCAGTTTACTGCAGTGCACAGCTGTTTTTCAACTCTTTTGCTACCTCCATTAAAAACAATTAAAAATACAAAAGTTTTTTCAGAGAAAAATGGTTAATTAATTATTTTAATAATTAAACTTATTTTGTCTTTTCTTTTTTATTATTAAACCTTTAAAGGCCTTTCACAAAAGAAAATTTTAAACAAACTTTAGTTTACTGTGAAGCAAATACCTTTTTACAGTCTTCCTGTAAATCACTCTTCAGTTTTCCTTAGCTAGATATTCCCACCCAGAGGCAATACAATTCCGGTATCTTATTCACTAACAGTGCAGGGTGGTGCTCAAGATTGCATAACTATTAAAAGTTTTTTTCAGCAGTTTCCTTCCTGGAACATTATTCAATCCATCTACCCATCTACAATATACACAGCACATTTCTGTCAGTAAATGTGTAGAATCAGTAAACATTGTGGTGTTTGGAGATGCACAATGAAAAAGTTAAAGTTTGTATTAAAGAAATAAAAATAACAAAGCCACCATATTGCTTTTGGTACTACATGATAATACCATGCTACGAAGTATAATTTTTGTTCTGTTCACTGGGGAGTTATTAGGCTTGTGACTGCCAGTTTCTTATAGCAATTATTTTATTTAAAGTTACCTGAGAACATTTGAGAGCATAAACATTTCTTTTTTCCCCTTCTTTGCACTGGCTTTATAGATCTTCTGAAGTCATCGCACAGTATTTCTAAGCAAACAGCATGTTTATGTTAACATAAAATCCATTTCTCATTATGATGTAGTGAACTGTCTTCCTAAACAAATCTAAACACTGTTTAGCATGTCTCATCAGCCGATGTGCTTCACTGCTTTTTTTAGCAGCATGTTTAGTCTTGCCATGCGTTTTTAACTCATCACTGTTTTGCAGGGTGCCCAGGTGTGGGTGAAAGAGAAGGAGTTGCTTCACCCATCCACTGTAAGCTCCTGTTCCAGCGGCTCTTTGGTCCTCAGAACTGACTATGGAGAGGTATGCCTACAAAAATTGACCCAACTTAGAAATTCAACTGGGATAATACAAGCTTCACTAAGTCAATTAAAATTTTTACGTCATGTTGAGGTGCTACAATGAGAGGGTGAGCTACATATTGTTTCTGTGCTGGGTTACGTGTAATTATATTCCTCCAAACTATGACAGAAATAATAGAATAGTAAAAACATACTCTTTAAACCTACGTGAAGATTAATTAGAGAACACCAAATATCAATTTTTATTCAATCATACTTAATATTAACCAGACCCGTAAGTCCTTCACTGCACCTTAAAATAGATCATCGCTTTGTTTGGGGGCAAGGTTTTGACTGAACATGCTCTGCATTTTTATTTTCCCTCTTGGATGGTTTGTCTCTGTCAGTGGGAGATAAGACAACTTTAAAAGATTTTCCAAGATCACTGGTTTTGGTGTTTTTTTCTTTCACAAAAGCTTTTTAAAAGTGGCCCAAAACTCTAATTTAGTGTTCTTCTAAACTTAGTTGATCCAACATTTCAATTGCCATACATTCTGAAATGTGAAGACTTATAAATGATCAAGCTTTTACTTGGAAAATATACTGTAGTTAAGTTTTATTCTTTAACAAACTGAACTTTCTCTGTATAGTCTGAGATGTGTTGCAGTAGCTGCAAGGTTTTAAAATGTCCTGTTATACTGATTTTAATATTGTGAAGGCAAGTCATCTTTGCTTAAAGGAAAAAAAATCACAAGATTGTGTGGATATTTATCTCCCTGCTTCTGTGCTGCTGTAACAATGGGGTCAGTGTCAGAGGATCCATGCTGTCTGTTTTCAAGCACTTTGTACCTGAACCTCTGATCATCATCTTGTGACTTTGAACTTGAAATTAGAGACTGGAGTTTGATGTCAGGTGTCCATTTTCTGGAATTTGCCCTTGGGGACTTTCTGGGTAAGCAGGAATCCAGCCCAGTAGGAGGGGAGGAGATAGCGTGAGTTCAACAGGTAAACACAGCTAACCCTAAAGACACCAGATCCTCGCAGCTGATATTGAGAGTTTTAGTAAGACAGGCCAGTTTTAAGTCTCCCAGATAGACATCTTGACAGGACCAGAAATTAACTATGTTGCCATTTGTTTGATGAATAAATTAGGCTCAATAACAATGGGTGAGTCACATTCTTGCATGCTAATAAATGCATGTGACATGAGAGTTTCCTGTCTCCAGGACAGTGAGAAAACTGTAAACAAACCTAAGGTAATGAGTCTTCAGTACGTAACTGTGGCTTGTCAGGGTGAAATGGGTTTTCATTAACTATGTGGCTTAAATGATGATAAAATAATATAAGGAATAAATGATTAATGATTGATAATAAACCACTTAGAGATGTCAAATTAAAAAGGAAATACAAAGGGTGTAACTCTACCATTGAAAAAGAATCTGCTAACATATTTTCATTTTTTGGCTGATTCAGTTATCAAAACATGAGCAAATCCTTATAGATTACCTCTGTCGGTAATATAATTTCTTCAATAACATTTGTGTAATTGCAAGACACATGCCTGTGTAAAGTGTTAACAGACTATTTTCATTTGTATCTTATTCCATTCGTTCATACAGTATACAATAGTATTTTCACAGCAGTGCTTAATTGATTATTTTAATTTTGGCTGGCAAAAATAATTCTACTGCTGCTTTATAACCATCGAATCATTCTCTTTTAACATCAATATAAATTTTCGTCCCGAAAAAGAAAGGTGTAGCAAGTTTTGCTTTCTTTATATTATCAAATGCATTCTAGAACTTGCACTTGATCACTGCAAATCAGAACAAGCCTTTGTCTCATAGCTATCTTATACTCTGTCAAAGTCTTGGCTATGTGTCTATAGTTAATGGCAACGAACTTGTAACAGGCAAAATGTTCTGCCACTTGTTCACTGCAGCCCTTTATGGCTGTTATCTTTAAGAAGGATCACAAGATGAGGACTGTGTCTGGGGAATGAGTGGCAGGAATTGTGACCACTAGGAGTGTCGCCCAGCACTCCATACTTATCGGCTTGGCAGTCTATGGAGACCTTTGTGTCTGGAGGAAATCCTGTGCAGAAAAAAATATAAGAGAGATTGAAAATAGTATCAGAGCTTAACATTAAAGAATAAAATCAGGAATGTCTTAGTGGGGTAATGCCTTCCGGTGCCACGTATTCTCAAAACTGATTAATTTTTTTTTTCATGTACAGTCCAGCCAATTCAGTCACAGCCTTTTATGGTTATTTCTCCTAGTCAATACCTTGTCAATTAAAAGAACCCCAAGTTAATTGTTTTAATATGTTATGGACTGTGGTAAGATGTATTTATTTGCCATTGATATTGACTCATTTGAAAGGAAACAAAAAACCCTTGTCAATGATTTTCAGACAACAAGCCACAATGAAAAGGTAATTGATGTGATTTATCGTGCAGTTGTGCCAAGCATTTATTTACTCTCCTGCCAAAGTTTGATAATTTGTTTTGCTGGCAGATTTCTATGGATTTCTTGCATTATGCTAAATGTTTTCAAAATCCATTATTTCACAGGTGCAGATTCCTTTTACATAGAGTAGATTTAGGATTTTTTTTGGTTTAAGGTCAGTGTATTTTTGCCTCACTACAGAAACTAGCATTAATTCTTTGAAATCTCATCTTATTTGATTTATATGATATTACATCTCTACTGATCCCCTCCCTATAGTCCAGGCACCACAGGCTCTCATTATAAAGGGCCAGGCATTTAAATTATTAAATTATAAAATTTAAATTAACTTGCAAAAACTCTGATTACAACTTCTAACGCAGGTATAGATTAAAAATGCTTTAGTAAATGGATAATTCAAAATAAGGAATACGTGGAGAATGCCTTTGTGGATATCACCATTAAAGCCTATATTTGTCATGTAAAATATCACTCTCTAAAAAACAAGGATACATGTGTTGTTTACCCATGTGAAGATTTGCTTATATACAGTCTCAGAAATGTGAGACGTCTTCCTCGTTGAATCTATGAGAGTGTATCAGTCATAGGGAAAGAACTAGGATCCTTTCTTTTTAGGAAGGGCAACGTTGCTGTCATCCGAAACTTTTAGAAGTTGAGATATAGTTGTTGGATTATCATTCACAGTGAGTTGCAAACCTAAGGTCCTTTATTTTCTATTTTAAGCAACTATGTAGTTTATATTGTCTATGAATTGGACAGAAACTTTAATAGAATACATCTCTAAAATGATCAGAAACTACTGAAGTTGGTTTTGGAAATCCGTATGGAACATTCAATATATGAAGCAGATGATAATCTTACTTGTAGAGGACACTGTGTATTTCTCTCTGTTTAGAGGCACTGTCTTCACATTCCTTGCCCCCCTACTGAGTTTGTATGTGAACTGATGCTGTAATTAGATCCCAATTAGTGCCAATCCTTTGGGTGTTATTTCTGTGCTATGTTTCTAATCTTTCCTTAAAATGCAGTCGTAACACACGCAAATGTCTAGGTTTAAGAGGATTGTGACCCCTAATAAACTGTCTGAAATGTAACTTTTAACTGTGTAAACAGAATTTCAGAATTTTTAGCCAAAAAATTCCATCTTAATTTTATTTTTATGATTGATCTGATTTCTTTCTGGTATGCCATTGAGTCAATTTTAGGCAAACTTGGGACTCGTGTTATAGATGGTGTTCATATGAGGCAATGTCGGATGCTGATCTAGGGTTAGAATAACCATTCACGTTGCCTCATGCTTAAGACACTTACCCTGATTTAACACTTTATTTCACATTTTTAATGTGTTCTCTTTTAGGTTCTAGCTAGTGAAAGGTTCAGTTATGGGACTTAATCTTGTCAATACAGTTTTCTTTCCCATGATTCTCTTTTACCAATGGTTTTATTTGAGCTTGGCTTGGAAATATCAATAATGTAATTTAGATACCTCAATATGAAATTTTCTTTCATATGTGTTCTGTTAAAAAGTATTCAATGCATTATTCAACCCATTTTATTGGTTTCACACTGGCTTCTTATCGACCTGTCCATTTCCTAACTGCTTCATTCAGGGTTGTGGGAGGGCAGGAGCCTGTCCTGGAAAGGAATGGTCACAAAGTGGGATACACCCTGGATGGGATGCCAGTCTGTCACAGGGCACACACAGACACAAACACTGACATGTAGAGAATCACACCAGGGCCAGAGGAACACAGGGAGACCATACTTACTGTATGCTGATAGCACCCCAGGTCAGGAATTGAACCCAGGGCCCTAGAACTGTGAGGCAGCAACACTGAGACACTGTGCCACCCTGGTTTCTTATTTTGTTTAAAAAAGGAATATAAATAAGGCTTATTGAATCTTAGTGGAATGTGGGAAAGAAGGATGTTAAGACTTGGAACTGATTCCAACCACAACGTTATCATTCACTGCAAATATTGCAGGACCACAATTGCCTGTTACTAAATCTGTGACAAAATATTCCACATCTAAGTCCCCTCCTCCACGTTGTTCCATATTAATCACACAGTTGGGGTTGCCAGCTGCGAGAATGACCAGTTTCACTCAAAGTTAAACGCAATGACCCATGCTTCTCACTCATCGAGGAGTCTGTGCTGCTTCACAGTACTGTTTCTGTAGCTTGGCCAATGATGCACCTGAATATGTTTGACATTTTTCTTCAAGTGGCACCTGACATTATCATTTATCATTGTGAATTACAGTATATAGCTTATATGCTGCCAGTCTATCAGGACAACATAGTGACCAGCAGGGACATAATTTTGATATGGAGCTTTAAATTTGACTTCACTGTGCTTTTATTAGGTTGTACTGTCAAATTTCACCCACACTCATTATTACACAACTGATAAATAGTAAATGACTTACCTTCTTATTGTGAGTGTCCACTTGCTGTATTCTTCCTTGATTATTCAACACTCCCCATAAGCATTACCTCCCCATAGTCCCAGGCTACAAATCACCCATTATATTTTACGCAAAAAACATAAC